GGGGGGGGGGGGGGGGTGTAACATCAGCAGGATGACTGGTTTGTGGCGTCTCTCTCTCTTTGACTTTCGTAGCTGTGGGACGTTGAACACAAACGGAACATGAGGCGTCTGCCGTCACACCTGTCTGTGGTCAGAGGGCTTTCCTGGAAGCAGCAGTTACTCAGCAGGTTTGTGTTGTCAGGACGCAAAATGAAAGTTACAAAGAATCCCAGCATCTTTCTTTTTTAAAAAAGGGCATCACGCTGAGTATCAATAGAAAGTATTCCTGCAGGGGAATGACAGTTAACACAATCCCACAGCGGCTCTGCTCTCGGACGCATCCATCACCTTGACCCTCGGGCTCCTGAGCCTCTGGTGGGCGCCGTAGTCCAGGAGGAGGAGGTCTGCGGCCTCCAGTGGTCACCGGGAGGCGACTGGCTGGCCAGCGGCTCCACAGAAGGCCTTCTCCGTATTTGGGGCGGTGACATCGCTGGGGTCACATGGTCACGTCAGCCAATCACCACGATGAGACAGCCCAGCTCTGTTAAGGTCAGTGTGAATGCTTCGTGATCGGGGGACTTAGAAATGAAAACAGATCCTGTCTGTCAGATGTGACACAGTGACCTTGACAAGCTCTTTTTTCTGATCACTGTAAAAAAAACTAAACCTTATTGAATACAGTTTAATATAATATATAAATATAAAATATATATATTATATAAAACATGAATACTTTTTATAGGCACTGTATGTTGGAATGCACTGGTGTGACTTTAAACTCTGTTGTATCATCTGGCATTCAACCATACTGCTGTTTATTCACACAAAAGTATACAAACGATAATGTATACATATACTAGTATGCGATTTCCAGTCTGTAGTGCTTATAGTGAAAAGCTAATGTTAGCATGCTAACGTGCTCGGCGACGGATATTTTAATGATGTTGCCACCCATGCAGCCCCAGCCCTAAAAACATACCTTTTTAGTGCATCGTCTGTCTGATTTGACTTGGAAAAAGAACACCTGCATCATTCACAGGGGGAGGACATGATTGACACGACCACAATCACACACTGCAAGCAACCGTGTGTTCTCCTATATGACTTTGCGATGACCCGTCTTAGCTCGTGCAAACTTTAGCAGCACGCTACGTGATGGTATGCTGAAGGGTTTTGCTGTTGTTACGGAGGTTTAAAGTGGTAGTTGATCCTGTGACAATTCAGTGGAACAACAAGACAATCTGCTGACAGTTGTCAGTTGTGTGTGTGTGTGTGTGTGTGTGTGTTTTAGACTCACTGTATTTTTGTGTTCAGGCAATGGGTTGGTGTCCATGGCAGAGAAAGATGATCGCCACAGGAGGCGGATGGAACGATGGAGAGCTGAGAGTCTGGGACACAGATTCGGGGACTTGTGTGACTTCTGCCAACACACATTCTCAGGTGATTAACGGGACAGTTTACCCCCAAAATTAAAAAAAAAAAACAACAAAAAAACAAAGTTTTCCTCTTACCTGTAGTGCTTTATATCAATCCAGATTGTTTTGGTGCGAGTTGCCTGGTTTTGGAGACATCGGGTGGAGAGATGTCTGGCATCTCTCCAATATAATGGGACTATATGGCAGTCGGCTTGTGGTGCACAAAGCGCTCAAAGGTCACTCAAGAAAATTTCACAGCAACCGGGTCATGATTTCTCAAAAGAGACTTTGCTGTGGAGATTTTTTAAATGTATTTTTTTGCTGCTTTAGGCAACTCACACCAAAACAATTTTGACTGGTAAATAGGACTCCACCATAAGAGGAATAATATGTAGTTATTATTTTTGGGGTGAACTGTCCCTTTAAGACTCAAAGTGTATTCAGAGTTTTTTTTACTGTGCATACATATCAGACAGACCGTTCTTTATGACTCCAATTGCAGATTTGTTCTCTGCGCTGGGCCGAGAAGAACAAATGTCTGGTCACAAGTCACGGACTTCCTCATCACCAAGTCAACTGCTGGTCCTGGGAGTTCCCCTCCCTCAGCCCCATCTACCAGCTGTCAGGTTAGAGAACCTGAAGCATGATGCGTGTGCAGCTACATCCCTCAACACATTCACAACAGCCTCGTAGGAATAAATGTATCGCATGCTGAGTAATATTCGCATAGCAGAGTCCGTGCGACAGTTGTGTCATCTATCACTGAGATATTCAATAGCCATTTTGTGCTGACTCATTCGTGTCCTGGGCTTCCAGCAAATGTGAAACTACGAATTGAACATATCAAAAGTCACTACGTGTGCTATGACATGTCACAGTTTCCTGAGGTATTTATAAATTTGTCGGGGGGGGGGGGCTTACATGCGAAAAACATCCTCTAAAAATCCTATAAAGATCATTTACAATATCTTTATGACTTTCTTTACTTTCAGTAATTGTGTTATTCATTTAAAAAACAAAAAAAAGTAGTGATTTTGATTTGACTTTCAATCTGTAATGTCCGAAACTCTTTCTATTTCTTCGTGACTTACTGTTGAGTGAATGTGCGGCCTTGCATTGAAATTTGCTGGTTGCTAAAACTTTCGTGAAAGTCAAACCGTCCCCACAATGCTTTGACTCCGACAATGACAGAGAGCATCACGGTCCGCTGTTGATCTATTTTATCCCCCATTGAGACAGCCCCTGTTTGAAATGAGAAAGAGGTATTTAAAGGTCAAAGTTAAATCGTGTTGGATTTTTATTTTTCAGGTCATTCTCACCGAGTCCTGCACTTGGCCGTAAACCCTGACGGCACTCAGATTTTCTCAGCTGGAGCAGACCAGCAGTTTCACATCTGGGACGTGTAATTGCACAACATCACTGAAGGTGGACGATGAATGTCGGAGACCTGTGTGAAACCTGTGTCCACACATACAAGAAGCTCTCTTTTCTTGGTAATGTCATTGTGTGGAGAATGCACATTTCCTGTCCCCTGCTCTGAGCTCACCACAGTAAGAAGCTAACAAACCACAGTCAAACTTATTGTCACTCTAAGATAGTTAATTTCAAGGTAAAGTGACACATTAAGAAGTTCCTTAAATTATACACAATATATTCCTTTTATTTCGTTTTTAGCTACGGATAAGTTTCTTTTTTTTTTGTGATTGAAATATGCATAACAGGGCATTCATGTGAGGAAAGTACAGGAAATACTTCCAATGGACTGAGTGGCTCAGTCTATGGCATCAACATAAAAAGACTGCAGGGAGGTTGTGTGTGAAGAATAGTAATAATGGTAATAATGATTTAATTTCTACAGAACCTTTCAAGCAAGAAGCAGAAAGTGCTTTCCTGTGCAGGGAGACAGCATAAAAAGAAAATCACGCCTTTAAAATCAACAGTATTAGACATATAAAACCATCCAAAATGACGTAAACAAATAAGTCTGGTCAGACAAGAAGGCGCCAAGAAAGCGTAATCCACCACAAATGTGTTTTATGGTTTGAAGGCATGGTTTTCAAAGCCGAGACAGTGACCGAAGACTAACTGGAGGATTGTTTCAAAGCCAAGAACGGCCTTAGCTCGTTCGTCTCTTGAATTGAAGGGTGGCGACCCTCAACGTGGCGACAGCTGAGCCGGCATCTACCAGCTAGCGGTGATAACGGTGCAAACTGCGGCAAAAGTGCTGACAGAGCTAACGGTGTTTACCTGAGGGGGATCGGGAGAGTTGGGTGCTCCACTTCCGCGACCCGACCGACGGCCTTGTTGGCTGTAACCGCGGATTAAGCGCCATGCAGAGTGGCGGACACGACCTAGCCAGCGGGGCACGCTCACATGCCACTAACGTGCATTAAAGGCATGCACGGCCAGCCCCGGCTATGTCAACAAATCAAGGAGAAACTCGGATTACAACCCACACAGAGGGAGAGCAACTTCGTTATCTGCTCAGTTAGACATTACCTCACTACATCTTTACATAGCTAATACTTGTTTGCTGCAATCTGAATACTCTGAATCCTGTATATTGCACCTTTAACCTAATTTAAGCAGCCTCTCTGGACAGTAAATAGTCACAAATACACCCTTTAAAGCCTTGTATATGATGATGTATTACATAACCAGTGCAAAGGGGCTCCGGGGAACTTCTAATGCAATTTCTCATGCACAATGCTACTTGTGTAACTTGTAAAAATGATGTTAATGTTTCGTTCCATGTATATTATCCTTCCATGTATATTATCCTTTATTATCGACAAACATGTGAGGTCTGTCACCACAAGCATCTAATTCTCAAAGACTACACCACAACACTGAAGTTCAGCAAAGACACACATGCAATGGTGAGTAGATGCAGAGTCATGAATGTGAAATATATAGAATAGAAAACACAAAATAGAAAACTTCGAGATACATTATCCCTCCAACAGAACTGTACAGTGTCTATTCTGTCTAAAACTGACTTTATGCTCCAAAGGTCTTAAGTCCCAGGTCTTTTGTTGTTCAGTGATTTATGGACAAGTTGAAATCCCTCTTCTAATTCTGAATTTCTTAGTGTTTAAACTACCTGCTTGTCACAATCAGGCTTTGCCTTGGGTGTTTTGTGTGTAGTTTTCTGTAGCTCCTCACTTCCTTCACCTGTCCCTAATCGGTTCATTCAGTGCACCTGCCAGTCACACTCTCCCTCATCAGCACAACTCTCCTCACCTGTTCTAGTCACTATTTAAACCCCTGTCTTTCACTCACTCACTGCCAGATCATTGTTTTGTTTCCTACCTACCCGCCCATTTTGCTCTTCCTGTTCCCGGTTTCCCAGTCCGTCTGTTCTGCCGGATTTCCCCCCTTGTCTTGTCCTTGGATTACCTGTTTTTGTTTCGTGAGTTATTAAAACCCTTTTGTTCACTACTCTGACTGTCTGCATTTGAGTCCTCATTATGTCCCATGCCACTGCTTCTTTTCCCAGCATCTTTAATGTGAGTGTTTGATTGGCAGGCGAGAGGCATTGCACAGTCAATCATGCAACAATTTGGCATTATATCTAAACCCCTACAATGGCCCATAAAACCAGAGGAAACTCAAAATCCTGAATTTGTAACTAAACTTTGGTCAATCCCTGCAAATGACACAGCTACACTAGTGTGGTGGCTGTCGATATGGCGACATGTTGTACGGTTGGTTGGTTGGTTGGTTGGTCTGAAATATCCCAAAAGCTAATAGATGGATTGCGATGATTGACATTTATGTCCCCCACAGGACAAACTATAAGAACTTTGGTGGTCCTCTGACTTTTTCTCTAGCGCCACCATCAGGACAAAATTTTAATTTGTCCAGTATTTAAGATTATAGCAAAAATACCTTAACTATCAAGCTCTACTTTGTGTTTACTGCTAGTTAGCAGACGTTAGCATGCTAAGCTAAGGAGGTGAACATTGTACCTGCTAAATATCAGCATGTTAGCATTGTCATTGAGTGTTGGCTCAAAGCACCACCATAAAGCCTCACAGAACAGCTAGCATGTCTGTAGAGTCTTTTTTTAACTGTTAGTTTTTAAAACATTTTAGGTAAATTGTGTTTTAACGCAGTTATTGGCGATATTATAATGCAGAGAGGACAGGAAACGAGAGAGGCAAAAGGAGAACGACATGCCACAAAGGTTGTTCACTATTTTCACTTTACACAGTAGGCCACCAGGGTGCCAAAACTGCAACAATTTTTAACAGGTGTTTGTTACTTCTGATGCTTTGCACTGTACAGTTAAAGTAAACCTGTTTTTTAAACAAAATGACAATCCAAGCAACAAAATGAGAAAAACTGACATTACGAAAGAAAAGAGAACCATGAAAACACCATGAGAAGACCTGCATCCGCTGTGTCTATTTGTGTGTCCACTGCAGCCCAAAATCTGGTTCCCAAAGTGCTGAACCGCTTCCAACTTCAGAATCGCGGTATGTAAATAACAGATTTACCAACAGGACAGAGAGAATAATTAATTATTAGTGACAGATACTCAGAAACACTGTTCATAAGGTCAGGATAGACAACACTGGTAGTTCTGTTAGCTGTTAGCGTATTATGACTAGCGCCCCCTACCGTCCAGGGGCTGTTAACTGTAATGAATGAGGAGTCAGTAGGCAGTCAATGGCAGTATAAAACAGGCAATGAAAGGTGTTTTGAGAAAGCGTGAGTTACCGCAACCACGAGAGGTCTTTGAGAATGCCACTGAATGTGAGATTAGCCGTGGACGGACACAGAGGTGCATAGTCACTCATGTATGCACACATGATCTCCCTCGACAGTATTTATGTGTTATATTTATCATCGTCTTATCCACTACTACTGGAAGGCTACTTAATTAATTTTCTTACTTTCTCATTTCTGAAATATTGCCAGTGTCATACCATCAATCAGTGTAATCTCAGCCAATGTGTTATCATGGAGCAAATGATCTTCCGTGGACAAATGAATGATTGTAGTGTCCATATGGAAGACTTGCTTCAAGCTGGGAAACTGTGCTTTCAGGCTCTCCTTCTCAAAATGATGATGCACTGTAGGGTCAACAAAGTTCTCTATGTATTTTAATTGTTAAACTGTAGGTGGCAGAGTTTGCACGACCAGCCTTGGAATTCCAAAGTTAAAGTTACTTTTTATCTTAATATGCAAACAAAGCCTCACACAGTATCCAGTTAGTTAGTTAGGCACAAGGTACGCAAATGTAAAATATTTAAGTGCTATTTATGTGAATGTGGCAGCAAATTTGGATAGTATTAGTCATATCATGGCATGGTATTTGGCATTAATTATATTTTGTTTGTTTTCAGTGTGTAATTTGATACAGTATTTAATTGTAGGGCCTATAATCACACGCTAACTATATCAAGACAAATGATCATTATTTATTATTATCAGCATTCGTCACTTGGACCGAAGGCAAAAATTCCCATTTCGAAACATGTTACGTTAGAAAATGTTATTTTCAAACATTTACAGTATTCTGATTCAAAATGAAATAATTCTCAGCTTTGAAAATGAAGCTAGGTCTAAAACACATGGTGATTCAGGCAATGAACATGTTATACATAAAGAAAGTAGTGACCACAAATCTTTCCGTTCTCATGTGTTTAGGTTTAATTCTATAAGATCTGGGGTGCATTCATGATATATTATATTATTACATTCTGTTTTGTACGATATTTTATTCCACAGTAGAAATGTGCTGTAAGTGCTGCTGTGTTGCTTTCCTTGGTGGCTCATGTAACTAAGAGTTATGTGAATAAATAAATACTATAAGATGGTTGAGATGATGACTATATTTTGCTCATTTTAAGAAAATTAAAGCAAAAGCTCAACATTTTGTGAAATATGCTTTCTGGCAGAGAGTTAGTTGAGAGTTAGTAGAGATTCTTATGTCTACAATAAACGTGAAGCTACAGCAGCTAGTTAGCTGTAAAATAGCACATAGTTGATTTTACACTTCAGTGTTTGTGCGGATTAAATAAACGGACAAACCATGTTAATTAGTAATCTAATTAACATGTTTTTTTTTTTATCTGTGTAACTCTGCAATGGTAACATCCAATCACAACACTAATCGGGTTAAATGGAACATATGACTTCTGATTCATCTACACACAGTGAGGAGAACAGAGACGATGGTCCAAATATTATGGATGTGACATCGGCAACAGAAACGTTGGCAAGCGTACTTGCCCAAATGTTAATCTTAATTTAGCTAATTTATTCAAGAAATCCAAACCTGATTTTAACAAAGCTTTACTGGTTGTTGAATTGCACAAAAACTGCAATGAGATTGGTTTCGAAGTAAGTTGGTCAAACAACAAGGAGAACAAATTGACATTCAAAACAGAAGTACAGTTCAAAGTTGAATAAGCAAAAAAATGTTTTATCACATGCTCAGTCGACATAAATAGCGTGCATGTGGCATAAATGGAACACCATGAAATACAGCATCCAGTTCCTCCAGCATATAAACTCTGAGTTATCTTCTTTCCTTTACCATTCACCTCCACCAGCCCTGTGTCAGCCGATATGATCCACTTTCTCATGATTTCCTCTGAATCATGACATGACGTTCATATCAACTCATAAGCGTAGCTGAGGGGCTTGTCAGCAGACTCCAGTAGCTGGTTCACAGCGGGCCCACCCATAGTAAACTGTCTGCACCCTGATGATGTGACCTGCTTCATGCACCACCCCACAGACTGTCAATAGCGTGGTACTGATTGAAAGACTGGGAAATGACAAAGAAATGTCACCACAAGACTTTTAAATGAAGATGCCATGCTTGCGATCATTCTGCTGACTGATGCATCAGGCTCGGTCAGACCACATCCTTCGAGCCTAACATATAAAAGATGAGTGTGTGCATCGAGGTGAGCTTCAGAGCCTCCAGCGTCACATCAAAGAGAGAGAGAGAGAGAAGAAATGTTCCGCCCGAGGGATTTCACTGTTTTTATCTCTTGTGCGGTCCTCCTCATCGTCCAGTCAAGTGAGTGACATGTTCTTCATCGCAGTCATTGACTTTGTGATATCCTCCTCATTCATGCAAAGTGATGCTACTTTCAAAATGACAGTGCAGCTATTATTGACTAATTGATCTACTCTTTTTTTTGTAGAATTACTGAACTGAGTGCTTATTCTGTTTTAGGTCATGGTTCTGAGATTATTGATGGGAAAGAAGTGGAGCCCCACTCGCTGCCTTTCATGGCTTTGATGATGAATCCGGTCTGTGGGGGGATACTGATCCACCCATCATGGGTCCTGACTGCTGCCCACTGTGCTGTGTAAGACCACCTTTATTTCTTACTGATGAAAGATTTTATGTTCTGGCAATTTAAACTCTTATAATAGTTTGAGTTTAAATTGAAAACAAAAAAACTGTTAGAATTTCCACACGCTCTGCTGTTATTATATATTGAGCTGAATATTTGCTCTTTTAAGTAAATATCTAAGTTCTCACTAATCTTATCAGAGACACAAGCATTAAAGACTTACATTGATGCGAATGCTTTGCACACTGACATTTAAACATTGATGTATTTGTGTCTTGAGGATCAGATTTTGCCACATTTTGATACTACTGTAGTATCCACAATGCTACGTATGGCAAAACAAGAAAAAGACATATGTCATACTCCGTTTGAATTAGCCAACTCTTGGTTGTTGCACACCCTTGAAAGAACAGACCAAAGGAGGCCGATATTGGAGAGAACAATGTAGTGTGAAGGTGAACATAACAGTTTTATATCAGTCCACACCCACGTGTGTCAATTTTACAATTTTCATTTCATTAAACTCTTTATTCAACTACCACTGAAGTCCCACTGGGGGAAAAGCTATATCCTGACCATACTATATTAAATACAATATGCACATATAATCCACACAACCGTGATGACGTCATTTTATCAATAATTTATGCACACTAGCATGTTAACTTGATAATAAAACCTTGTTTCCTGCTCTTGCAGAATTGAGGAGGTGTCTCTTGGGGTGCACTCCATCAAGAAAGACAAAAAAGACTCCTGGCAGGTCCGCAAGGTTAAGCAAAGAGTTCCTCATCCTTGCTATGATGCAACAGATAAGGTCAATGACCTCATGCTGCTCAAGGTAAGGAAACAGTCCCAGTATTCCCACCATATAGGAAGCAAAGATGCAACAATCTGCATAGGGAAGTGATTCAAAATGACTGAGGCAAACAACCAAGGCAGACATTGTGACACACATTCACGAAAACAAACTTCCCTTGTTCTGTGACTAGTGCTAAAGGCAAGGTACAAGACGGTCAGCATCAATAACACCTATTTTTTTCTTCAAATTTCAGCTCAACAAACCGGTGAAGCAAACCCAGACGGTGAAATGGCTCCCGTTGGGCAACACCGTCAAAGACCCAGCGGCTGGCACCAGCTGTCTGGTGGCCGGATGGGGCATAACTAAGAACAACGTCAAACAAATGTCGGACGTGCTGATGTCCGTCAACGTGACCGTCATCGACCGAGTGAAGTGCAACTCCCCAGAATATTACGGCCTTAATCCCGTCATCACTAGAGGCATGATATGTGCTGGTTCGGACGGTAAAAAGAGTGCCGACACCTGTCAGGTGAGTGCGTTTTGAAAGTTTTTGTAGTGTAAGAAGAAACCACTGCCGTGACTGCCTTTTGTGTGAATAAAAAATGACTTGTGTTTTTATTATCTGTCAAGGGGGATTCAGGAGGCCCACTTTTGTGCGATGGAGCGCTAGTCGGTGTCACGTCTTTTGGAAGGAAGTGTGGCCTGATTAAAAAGCCCGGAGTGTACGCTTTCCTGTCAGAAAAACAATTTATCTGGATCAAAAAGACCATCAAAAAGTCTGAAATATAACGAGCCCCCCTTGTTAACTATACCTCTGTATTATTGACGAAGTTAACCACTTAATGTCTATCTTTGTTTCTACTGTATATGTACATTCACTTTGTCCTCCTGCAGCCTATACAAAAGGGATTTACATCATAGGGATTTTTTTTCTTTCTAAAGCTGTACACCAAAGAGCTATCTCTTCTAAGATGAAAGCAAAACACCAAAGTGACATTATTCAAAACGTCAACCAGAGAGATTCACCACTTCCTGCATCAGAAGCTTAAATTGTCTCTGAGTCTTCGGCTCAACTCGTGTGGAAAGATTTTGTTATAAAGGTTAATTCACGGGCAGGTGAATTATTATTTCCTCATAATTAATCCATATTATTAGCCGATGGCTTGAAAAAACAAAACCAATGACCTGTTATTTAATGTGTCTTTATTGTGTCGTTACAGTAGCTCTGAATTTCACACCTTCATTGCATCACAGATTTGTGTTTCAGTTCTCTGCTTTCAGGTCGTGTGAGATCAGTGAATATAAAAATAAACTTTGATGTCTTGATATAAACACAAAAGAAAATGTTGTTTTTGTCTTTCGTCCTGCTATGTAGACGACGCTAAAATGCTTCCAACATGAGACAATTACAATAATGTCAACAAAAATAACATGAAGTTATGAGCAGTAAAGAGACAAAAGAAATAAAAATAAACATCTTGCGGATTGTGTGCTTACTCAGACCAGACCACAAGAGACAAATTCTCACAGTGTCTCTTAAGACCCCCTTACAGGAAACGTGCAAAACGTTGCATGAGTGACGGAGACCTTGACAGCGAACACACATTAAACACGTCCACATCCAGTAAAAGGAAATGCTTGCCATTGTAATCAAAGTTGACACAGTGACATTTTTGGGAAGGATTATTCATCAGCTTCTTTCTCTCTCTTATCTATATTCTCTTTCATTCCCGTGAGCTTGAACGAGCTCATTTGTCTCTCGGCAATATTTGCTCCCCACTTTAAATTCTTGTGGGTTTGTCACAGAAGTCGGCTTAGCCTTCTAAGTACATCTACCGCATACACCCTCTTTATGACCTGGGACCTACCGTGCATGTGGTGCTGGAGCTCAGTTGTCATGCTACATCCCTAGGTGGAGATCTCCGCTGCAGTAAGTGGTGCAGTAATGTACAGAGAGGAGATTTCACTCAGCTGGTGGTCAATGTTATATCACTTTACAGAACTAAAAATGAGTCCTGTTGATAGATAGATACATAGAAATATACTTTTTTTTAGTATTGTATTTAGATCCCCATTGGCAACTGTAAACAGAATGAATACCTGCTGTTTCCTGAAGGCCAATCCGTAGGTAAGCATCGCACTGGTTCCCTCGACAAAAAGCCAATGGGATTTTTCACATTTGATTTTGGATTTTTACAGAAAATAAACTCCGTGGCAAACAAATGTTTATGACACTTACTAAAATTTTGTTCAGCAAGATAATCTTCACAAATGAACACCACTTTTATGATATTTGAAGCTTGAATGCAATCGTCAGAAGTGAAAAAACACAAAAAACTAACATTGGTCTATAGAGGAACTAGACCATGATGGACGCTCGAGCGTGAGTATACACACAAGGCTGTGAAGACGGACTAGTCAGCTTGACGACGTTTTGTAGTGTTAAGGATTTCAGTATTAAAAGCATTATTAGTAGGATTAAATAACACCCCAAGTGGTGAGTAGAAGTGTCACAATAATAATAATGTCAAAATAGGTTAAAAAGTCACAATATATTTACTTATGGAATGTATTATGTTTACAATATTCTTACTTGTAGAGGATATTATGTTACAGTATTTTACTCATTGAATGTATTAAACCATAGAAGTATAGTCACTAAAGGTATTAAAACACTGTATGAATAGTTTTGAGGGTCAGAAAGAGATCATTTTGAGTGAGTCTTTACAGAGGTGCAGCAGAGAACAGAGGGGTGGACAACTGACCACCAGGACCTGAGGAGGAGTCTGGACAACTTCAACCAAACACTGAGATGATAACTGCCCCAAGCCAGGAGGGGCTATTGAATTTCGGCCAATCACAGAGGCTGATACTGGACATTTAAACTTTAGGACAGAGACTTTTAAATATAGGCTTAGTTCCAGAGGGTTTTTGCCAGAGTTCGCGCCGTTACCACTCTGGGTAGTTTACCAGCTGGGCTGGGCTATTTAGTGGGCCTTGTGAGAACTCTGCCCTGGGGACATATTGATATCGATAGAGTAATTCAGTTTGCCACTGTTCTAGCTTCTCTTGTTCATTAAATACTTTTTGATTGTTAACCGGATCCAGTTCATTTTTGGTGCGACTGGAAAGTCCAGCGGTCTGGGTCTCCCCTGAAAACATCTAACCCTAACAGTAGTCTCAATTAGCCACTTCATGGTATTCTCTGAAGTATTTTAGTGAAGAACTAACAATTTACATAGCTGACATATCATAGTCATGCTTTTTATTCCCAATTACACAATATTAATAGAGAGCAGAACTAACGGTCTACAATCTTGCTCAGTGAGGCTCTACTTATGCAAAGTGGTGTTTTAAAATTCATCTAATTGTATTGTGTTAACATGCAATAAATAGCACTCAGCACAATCTACAGCTGAGAATGATGGGAATTGGTTTAGCGGATATTTGGTTATAAACCAAAGTTTTTGAACTAATGAGCAACGGTAGCATTTATAGTGAGGAGGACATGACAATGTTTTTTCCAAATTTCACAGCAATCCATCAAATAGTTGTTGAGCTATTTCACTCAAAAACACCAATATTAGCCTCCTGGTGGTGCAAGAGGAAAAGTCAGGGGATCGCCAAAATCAGTAGGATTCATCCTCTGGTGACCATGAATGAAGAAAGATTCACTGCAGCCCATCAAATAGTAATTGAGTTATTTCACTCAAAACCAATAATGCCAGCCTCATGGTGGTGCTAGAGGACAACTCAGGGGATCATCAAAGTCGGTAGGATTCATCCTCTGGTGGCCATGAATATCTGCATAAAAATTCACAGCAATCCATCCAATAGTAGTTGAGATATTTCAGTCTGGACCAAAGTGTTGGGCCGACTAACTTTGCCATCCATGGAGCCACGCTGCTAGCGTAACTAAAATCTGCTTGACAACCTGTGTCATTTTGCCGAAATAGAAGTGTGCGTAGGAAGTTAAAATCAAATACAAAATCAAATAAAAAATACTTTCCATGGCGCTCTCTTGGAAGGGTGAAGGGAAAAAAAAAATGTAACCACACCCAGGAAATTCCAGCATGTCCTTTATTTGAGCTCTCAGTGAATTATCACTGACCAACCATCTGCCCGTTTGTTTACTCCGTTTCCATGGTCACGCACAAAAGCTCAGGCGCCCACCTCCGTTCCAGCAAAACTATCAAAGCTCACCACACCCTTATCAACTTATTTTGGCACATGGATGAATACCGAACTGTTTATGAATGTTTTTGGCATGTTTAAATAGCCATCTCTGCCATGGAGATCCCTGTCTCATACACACACACCAGAGTAAATGTTTACCTGGATGAGCTGCCCACCTTGCCTCGCCTTCTCCCTCGCTCACTAGTGATGCACCGGGACACACAGAGTGAAACCTTGTTTTATAGAGGTGAATGAAACTGTATCCTGGAAGGTGAGTCACAGTCATCTTTATATGCTAATGTCTGCCTGGTACCATACTGGCCCGTGTGTTTGTGTGTGTGTGTGTGTGTGTATATACATATGTATACACATATACATATGTATACACATATGTATACA